TGTCCTTGTGTAAAAAAAAATTCCTAATTTGATTTCATATGCATGTTGACAAGTATAGTTATATCTTGCTAAACAGTATTGATTACGTGTTTTCTACAGAGTTGGTGTCTGAATGTTTGAGCTGTTGCACAGAAGACTCTGATGATGCCATGAGTAAGGTACAGATGCGACCGAGATATTTCATCTGCTAGAGGTTATTTTTAGCAGCTATAGTTCAGGTTGTATATAGAGTTTTGAAGAGTCTCCTCTGGGTTTCTGGTCTCTAGTGTTGCCCAATACTTTTGAAAATTATGGCTTCCATGTAAACATTGTAGAGATGAGAGATTCATATTAAGATGGTTTTGATAAGGATGTTTGCACCCAAATAATAATTAAAATAAAATTGAGGCAAAACTTAAACAGAAGACGAAAACACTTATCTGCCTTTCCCTTGTTCTGCATCTATTTTTTTTTCTTTTGGTTTGCTTGTTTATTTCAGGGAAGTTGAAAATGTAACTTTTTGGTTTCGATACCTGCCTCAAAGTCCCCTAGTATATGGGAAATGAATAAAGCGGTAAAATATGAGAAGTGGACCACTCGAGTCTTCTTTTTGTAAGCACCGTGACCAAAAAGGTATGGGGAGGTGGAGGGAGAAAATAAGATGCCAAAATATCACTTTGGAGAAGGCCGTCTTTTCTTTCTTTGCTTTTTCCTTTTTTGAATAATCGAGAACTCGCTTGGGCCAATGGAGCATGGTTTGGACTCGCTGGATAATAAGCCTACTCTACCTTTCTCCACTTAAATACCATGTTTTTGTCTGTAGCAGGGTACAAACCATGACATTTGTCTAACCCACACATTACGTGTTGCGTTCTTACCCCTAGATCAAAGTCATGGGGCATTTTTCATTTCTTTTTTTTCCATCCTTTTCTCATACTTGGTGGATGGTGGAATTCTTAAAGATTCTACTATTGCATGAGTACATGACATGCTATCTCATAACAGTCAACTAATGGCTAGAGTAAATCATGAACTTCCTGAAACGTCAGACTAACATATGAGCTGTCACATTTTCTCTCAAAAAAAATAAAAATATGAGCTGTCACATATATGGCAAAGATGGTACTTCTTTACTGATTGATTAACATGATGCCTTTACTTTGAAATGGTACTTCTTAATTTTAATTTACTCTAAATGTGAATGCAGGTTGTTTATTCTGGAGCAGTTTTGGAAGTCTGCATGAGAAAACTAGTTTTCTATCCCGAAGTCGTTGGGTTCATTGAAGAAGAGAAGGACCAATTCCCTTTTGTAAAAGTTCAATATGCATTTAATTCTCCACCTAAGTTGATCATGTTGGATGATCACGGAGAGCAAAAGGAAACCATTAGGTCATCTTCCTTTGTCTCTTTTTCCCTTCTTTCCTTGGTGTTTTGTGTTTGAGCACTACAGATTTGTGTTTCTATAATGCCTCTACATTGCATTGAGCATGTTCTGTATTAGTCATCAGGACTGATACATTTTCTAAATCCTCCTCTTTCATGTCTTCCTATTCCATTTTCGGGAAACATAATTATATTGAGCCATACAGGTAGACAGTCATCTAGTTGTCACCAAAAATCAACTTTTGGGTCATGAGTCATGAGTGTGTTGCACATGCTAAACGTTTTCAGAGATCTTAGTGTCCTCGAGAAGCCTGAGTACATGGAGTTGCAATTCATGGAGTTCAGCTTTAAGTAATTTTTTCCTGATGAAAATTAGTTTGCACCCTGTGCATTGCATCGAATAGAATCATTCCCTTTGTACGCATGTTTGATAACAGCCAAATCTTTATTCTGGTTATCTAATGTATTCAATACATCTTGCAGAATTGATAACTGGAAACGCGAGCACATATTGCAGTTCTTGAAAGAGAAGGTTAAGCCATCATCAGATATCTAATGTGGCTGGTAGTGAAGTCCCGTTTTGATCAAGAGCAGTGTTAAGTGTGGGCTTTTCTTCAGAATTCAGCCTGCATCTAGTTTCAGAAAACTCCAGTTCCCCACTTATTGTTTTTAAGAAACTGTGACATGAAATTAATAGCAACACACAGGTTTAAAGGCTACTTCCATTTACAAAACATGCAGTGGATCCTTGTGCTTTTGATGTATCATTTGATTTCGTCAGTCCTGCTCTCTTTTTTTTCTATAATTTTCTTTCTCGCAAGAATCCC